TTGATTCTGGTTATCCAACAGTAAATGGTATCTTGGTCCATATCATTGTGAACGTTATCACCTTTCAGACTTCAGTTGAGTTGCAGGATTTGCAAATAATAATGAGGTCTTCAATTATTATCATTCAAGTTTGAGATGTATTATAGAAAGAACTTTTAAAGTATGGAAGAATAGGTTTGCAATTATACGAAACATGGCCAAATTTTAATATAAAACACAAGTTCAAATTATTTGTGCAACAATGGCAATACATAACTTTATCAGGAGAAATTCAATTATTGATGAGCAGTTCATACAAGCTAAAGATGAAAGTGTAGATGTCCATGAGGAAGATACCGATTTTGGTGAGGCATCCTTGTCAAATCTACTTGGGTCGTCAAGACAGATGCAACGTATTCGTGATATAATTAGAGATCAACTTATACTTTACATCAATTGAATATTAATTTATTTTAGATTTTTGTGGTTGAATATTTAAGATATTTTACTTATTAATTGTAATTTAAAGTTTAATATTTTTTACTTATTAGCTAGTCAAAAAGTATAAACATCCTATTTTGTCAACTGACTTTTGAATTAAATCATTCAAATGAATTTCAGTTTATCTAACTGACTTTTGAAAAAAAAAGGTATCCAAACATAAATCACATTACATTAACTGACTTTTTTTCTAACCTTAATTTGCTAATATCAATTGTAAATTTTTTAATTCAAACACACCTTATTTCCCTCGCCCATGACCAAGTTACATGGAGGAGGAATCATGCATTATCGACGAGATGATGCTAGTGACTGATCAAGCATAATGACAAAAAAAATTCTACTTTAACTCACTGTGCTGAAATTTAATATATCCTCATTTGTAAAGTCCACATGGAAAAAAGAGAAGAGAAAAGTGTGTCATTCCATTGTTAAAAAAAATCTTAAACAAAAAAAAACTATAAATCTCTGTCTCTATCAAGAAAAAAAAGGGAGAACAGAGACATGAATGATTAGATTTAAAAATCACTCCCTTGTGCTCTGCAATGTCTGTTCAACTACTGGCTGCTTCTTTACTTTAGCAGTTTAGCTGCTGCTTTCATTCAACGTCCATGCTTGTTCACCTTTACTTTCTCGCTTGTACTCTCACTTGTCAGTAGCTTCTAAAAACTAATGTTTTTGAAACAAGATCGAATATTGAATCAAAAATATTAATAGTTTATGATTCGTATGGTTCAATTGAGTTGGATCAACAGTCAAACTGATGACATAATTAAATTAAAAAAATTATATATGTATATAATAATCTAAATATAAAAATAAATATAAAATTTTTATTTAACTTAAAAAAATTAAATATTTTAAGTTTATCATGACTTAACAAGTCACGTGATACAACATAACATCAAATAATTAAAAAATTGATCATTTTCTTAAAAAAATTTTAATAAAAAATAAAATGGGTATTTTTTTAACAGTCCGGTTTTTAAAAATTAAATTCAGTTCTCAGCTTGATTTTGATTCTTGGTCTGACTGTTGGTCCAAAACTATCCAATTTAGCTCAACTTTTCAAAAGGTTTTTTCGGCTCACTTGAGCCGTTAGCCTGACCGATCGATCGGTTTGGTTCAATTTTCTAATCATTGCTAAAAACCTCTTCTCAATCCCACACTCCGCCATTCCTAACCTTTTGTCTGTGGCTTCTGTTGCACTTACACACAACAGTGTTTAAGGCTTGCTTGAAATTGGGGATGTATGGCTTCTACTTGGGGTTGAACATTTTTTGAGTGATCAATATGAGAAGAGAGAGAAGCTATTTGGAAGCCGGTAGAACCAAAGGCCCTATGGTTGTGATGTTCGATCAGTGAGTTTGGACTAGTGTTGATCTTCTTTGGTAATAGAATGATGATGATGCTGTGGTTGAATTGAAAGTTTGAATGTAGGAGGACTAGGTTGGCGGCGAAGGAGAAGATGAGAGGGTAAAAGAGAAAACATGAGATCTAGAGAGAGGGAGGAGGTAATGTGAAATTTGAGTAGACTCCAGACAAAAATAACAAATAAAAAATTAACGTTTGGTCAAATTTAATAGCAAGCATTGGGAGCTTTATATTAAATAGTTGATGATTTATTTTATACTATTTAATAATATAGGTTACATGTTCTTCAAAAAAATAGTTCATAATTAAATTTGCATTTTTCCTCTACAAGAAAATAGTGGCAAGAGATAAGAATAAAATCAAGTAAAATGACATTTTGGGGTCTTATAAAGAGGATTAGTTATTACAATCAAAGATTTTGACTTAAAAATGGTTGAATTTCAATTGGAAATACTGAAATTTCAATGGAAAATTACAAGAGTTTCCGTAATTAGAAACAACCCTTAATCATACTTAACCTTTCTATAAGATTCTTATGTAAATCTCCTTAAAATAAAGTAATACAACTTTAATTTTTAATATAAATCACTTTTAACTCTATCATTAGAACTAAAAAAATTAATTAGCACATCATTAAAATTATATGAAAATTATTTTGGTTTTCCTCTTTACTCATAATAAATATTACAAATTTTAAAATATATATATTCTTTACCTTCCCATTAAAGATTGATAAGAATGACATCTTTGAAAATAAAACAATTAATATCATTCTTATAAAATGACTTATAGATTATTTTAATATGAAGCTTTTTCCCAACCCCTCTGTACAATTGTTAGGGTATTCTACAACATTTTCTATCTTGTAATTAATGCACATCTCTTCACAAATGTATTATTGTACTAGAGGCTAGCACAACACAAAAGTGTGTCCCCCAAAGTCTGGCCATTGGTTTGCTACTCTCCTTCACATAAAATTTCTTGAAGAAAATCTCAAACTATTGACTGATACAAATATACCCGTTCACAAATTTAAATCGAATACACTCATTCTATTTAAAATATAAGTAATTTTTCTAAATTTATTTATTTTTATTTTGCCCTTATGTACAATTGAATATTTTGAATAATTGATGTAAACTAGGGTAGTTTTGAAAAATATTACAACTTTTTCCCATTTTTAAGGTAGAATATCAACAAATGACATCTAATAGAATTTAATATTTGACAAGAACCTTGAACTGATTGAATATTTGTTAAAACAACAACTTCACTTGTTAATTTGTTAATGTTTACTTGTTAAAAATTCTTATTGAATATTAAATTCTTTTAAGGCTTCTTTATTGATACTTTACTCTTTCCATTTTTTTAAATAAGCCAACTTCCATTCATTTACTCTGGTTGGTTCGTGTGCAGATAAGTAAACTGGACCTCTATTGTGAATTGGAGAGAGCATTTCTTTTGCACGTATCCCATTTACAAGAATGCTGCAAGTGAGGTCTCATTTCAACCATTAGAGACATAAATGGGACAATTTCATTTACACTTCAATTCCAGATTTTGTTTTCGGGGGTGTTAAATAGACATACAGTTATATTAATAAGTGTAGCTTTGGCAAGGCTAGAAATATTATCCTCGACCAGCAATAGAGACTAATCTCCTTCAAGATATTAAAGGAAAATGGTAGGGGGATAGACAGTTTTATTAAGTGTAGCTTTGGTAAGACTAGGAATATTCTCAGCTGGCAATAGAAACTAATTTCTCTCAAGATACTAAGGGTAAATGGTAGACTACAATCAATTCAGTTTGCTCTATACACAAAGATTAGGAATTAAACTTTCAATTACTTACTTAAATGACAAGAGCTCTTACTACTTATTTTATAGTTAGTACCAATGTTGCCCACTTCTTTGTTTTATAGGAAAGGTTGTAGGATCAAACCTTGGGGGTATGCGTTATGCCAAGTAGAGCTAGGAAAACGGGTTGAGCCCGCAGGCTAGCCTGTTTAACTTGCACAATTTGATGAGTTGAGTTGAAAAAATTGGCCCATTTTTTAAAACAGATTGGGCTAACTCAACCTGCAAAAATAGCGGGCTAAAACGGACTAGCCCGTGGGCTAAATGGGCTAGCTTACGGGTTAGCATATTTTTTTAAAAATATTTTTTTATTTTTTAATTACATTATATTTTTTTTATAAATTTACAATAATAATAATATTTTTTAAATATATAATTTATGACTTTCAAATATGTTCTTTACATTTGAAATATAGTGTAAATCTTTTTTACAATTTACAAATAAAATTTTTGTTATAGTTTGTGAAGATGATTTATTAGTTTTTATAGAAATATTTTGAATATATATTATTTATTAATCTCATAAGATCTATTGATTGAAATTATAAATATAAATTCACTGAGAAAAATAATATGGATTTTTATTCAAATTTTCTTTTATAGTGACAAAGATAGCACACCTAGGCAAGAAGATGATTGATAATAAAAATCTAGCAAAATAAATTTGTTTGGTTGAATTTTATGTTTATTCTATTTATTTACAAGTTTTTTAATTGCTAATTTGCTTTAAAATATGAAATAAGTATATATATATATATAAATATATATATATATATATATTATATTATATAAATTTTGAATTATTAAAAAAATTCTGATAATTTTTTGCGAGCCAGCCCGCAAGTTAGCTAACCCGCTAAAAAATAGGTTGGATTGAATTTTTCAGCTTGTTTTATCTAGCAAGTTGGCCCAACCCAACCCGCAAAAATGCCAACTCGTGTGGGCTAGCCTGCGGGTTGACCCATAATCCATTTGTCCAGTACTAACGCCAAGCCCTTAAGAATTCAATCATTGGGAAGGTTATACTATTAGTACACCCTTGAGTAAACGGAGCTTGAGAAGGTCTCACTTTTCACCCCATCAGGGACACCTAGGAGGTAAATTCTAAGAAGAGGGGGGAGTGAACAATAGCAACCAGAATTGTAATATTAAGTCTAGCTTTGATCATTCTATGGTGTAGGAAAAAACATAGCTGATGAACCAAACTCATGCACAAGGTCATGGGAATATTGGTTGCAAGCAAGAATAAGATATAAACTCCGAACTTTATAGGGAACTTGCTATACTTCTTCAGGGATCCTTTTTACCAGAAGCGTTCATAATGGCTAAAGAATAACCAGAGAACATAAGAGCTATAGCAAGAACTGGCAAGACAAACCTGAACTCCATGGTAATTACTATGACAAATCAAACAAACCAATGGGTCAACTGCATGTTGAGATGCAGATGTAGACAAATCAGAGATATACCTGAATTCCTTGTGACCTAGCACACTGTAAAATAGTGAAACCCAGGTGATAAGGCCAGAAAATTTCCGTTGTTTGGAATAAATTATGCCAGCTAAGGAAAATGGTAGGTGAGTGAAGATCATGACTGTAAATCCCTGAATGAAGTACCAGTGCCACTTGTGGGTTCCATAATAGTCTCCTGAGGAAAGAAAATTGAATTTTAGAAAATTAAGAGGTACCAAAATCCACTTGCCATACATGAAACGATCTAGCAAGCAGGTTAGTCCAAGCAAGAGGGCCCTGATTTAAAAAAAAAATGAAAATAAAACTATTATTGAAAGATGGATTTTAAGGAAAAGACAAGAGAAAGGAAATAAATATCAGTAGTGTTAAACTCTGGTTAAAGGGGTAGATAGTACCCAACAGCTAACAGTATTATAACGGCTTTCTTTTATTCACAACCATCAAGATTTACACTCAAGATTTCACACATTCATGAACATTATTCTGTACGATCTAACTTATATAATTAATGTGTTGATCTCAGTAACGAATTATTTGATCTTGCTAATGCATAACTTCATTTACTAGAGTCACAAATAACCCCAAACTAGAAAAACCAATAAACATCTTTGACTTTGCAGGTAAGTCAATACTTTGTTAAAAAAAAAAAAAGTGAATGAATTTTTCCCATATAACTTGTGGGAAGATTTTCTGTGTATTCAGCATGAAATATAGAAAGACAACCAATCCACCTTAATGCCCATGCTATACTAGAGAGTAACTAATGTTAACCTATACCCAATAGCCTGCTGTACTTTGATGAATGTATTTTCTGATTTTAGAAATACACAACTGCATTCACCAGAGGTTAAAAATATTGTGAACTAGAAAAACAGAAAAATGTACCAAAAAAACAAAAAAATTGACGGTGGCAAGTCAATGCTTCAGAGGAAAAAAAGTTAATGAAATTCAACACCCACAAGCCATATGAGAAAGTTTTTCATTTATTTAATGTGAAACATTGAGAAGGCAATCGATCCTTCTTAACGCAGAGGCCATGCCATAGTGAGTAAATGATGCCAACACATACCCAATGGGAGCCATCTCTAGAAGGAGGAATCACAATCTGTCATGTAATGTTAAAAGGTAATCGATCCCTCTTAACGCAGAGGTCATGCTATAGTGAGCAAATGATGCCGACACATACCCAATGGGAGCCATCTCTGGAAAGAGGAATCTCAATCTGTCATGTACTGTTAAAAGCTTAAGAAGGCCAACATACAACCATGTGATTGCACTTGTTGGCCGAACAGCAAAAGCTAAAGCTGCTAAAAGTAAACCCCACTTCCTTGAAATGAAGGATCATTTTCCAAAGGGTCTCATGCTAGGCGGCCAAAAGTATCTGGGCTACCCAAAAGCAATGCGATGTGCAACTTCAGGCCCTTGCCAGTGTTCATCCGAATTGAAACATGTCTGCAGTAATAGAGCATTAAGCGTCCGGAATGCCAAGCAGAAACAAAAGATTCTCTTCTCTGACGAGAACAGAGAGATGGAGAGCAATCCCGAATCTTTTGATTCAGAAAAATTTGGGAATATTTAGCTGCTGATGGACGTGCCGCGCTCTGTCTCTGTCTTGTTCCCGAAGAGTTCTGTAAAATATAAAATGCATTGTATCTCTTTTCAAAAAATGGCAGATAATACAGTTATATGTGATTGGACTCAGAAGACAGTAACCAGTTATTGGTGATCCATAATCGATCGAAGTCCATAGTCTGGGGTCCTGAATCAAACTCCACCGGTCCACCCAAACCCATTCGATTATGATTTGAACTTCTTGAGTACTTTTGAACACAGATGGATACAATCATGATCAATACAAAGCATGGTAATGACTCACGGCTCCACAATCATGATCAATTTATCGTTGATTTTTTTTTAATTTTTTTTGCCAAAGAATTTATCATTAAAATTTGAAGGGTTGGATGATAAAAAATATAAAATATTTTTAATTTTTTAAAGTATAATTATTTTTTTACAAATATTTTTATTGAGTAAATTGTTTATAGTTTTTTAAATAAAATATCTTATTAAATAAGGATAAATATAAAAAATAAGTAATTATTTTATTAAGAATAAAATTTAATTAAAAATATTATACATTTTTCAACGGAAAGAATATTAATGTATTATATAACAATTCATTTCATTATTTCAATAATTTGAATGACATGTTAAGAGGTCCAAGTTTATCTTCATTTATACTAGTGATTCACATTGACAAATTTTAATAGAAAATTCATTTCACCATTTCAGTATCAATATTTAATTTAATATGAATATTTAATATTCATTCAATAAAATTATAAAATTTATAATAAATTACATTATTTATTATCCATAATAATTTTATTCATTTAAACTTCATTTTTCTGCAAAACTTTTTTGGCCAACATTAAACTTTACATAATACATTGTTGATTCATTAATTTGAATTACATGTTAAAAGATCCAAGTTTATCTTCATTTATATTATTGATTCACATTGACAAATTTTAATAGAAATTTTTTTAATAAATATTGAACTTATAAAAAAATATAAAATGAAACTAAAAAAAATTATCCAAGCTAACTAATATTTTGAAATTGGGGAAGCATTATTGTTGTTTTTGTATTTATTTATTTACTTGCCAACAACAATGTCAGTGACCAGTGACACCAATTTGAAGCGCGGGAAAATAGAATTTGGCGCAAGCATTGCCTACAAATAGCCATATAGCGTTGCATTCCCTCTGTTTGAAACAAATACAGAGCAATGGAGGATTCGGGATCAATTCTTTCTCACATTTCATCTCTAAAGGACATGCTGGATCAGGTTTTTCTGCTCTTTGTCTTCATCTATTTCGATCGCTTCGTTTCTTGACTAATCCGTTGTTCACCTGATTTTCTTTTGAGAATCAGGTTAACGAAGAAATTGAGGCTACTATACAGATCACGCGAGAGATAGAATCCGGGATCGTGAAATGTGAGGAAATTGAGAGCGGTTTGGCGGGAAGAGAAGCGGAAATGATGAAAACGGTTTACATGTTGCAGTTCGAGATTGTTGGATATGTCACCGTCGCTGGTAATCTCGGTCCTGCTTATCTGTTTCTGGATGTTGAGGTTCACAACTTCATTTGAATAATGGAATGCTCTGTCTTAGTGTCTGCTTTCAAATTCTATGAGTTCTTCTTTTGTTTGATTGAAATGTGATTTAGGGGAAAATAACTCAAAACAGGCGAATCAAATACTTTTAGCGGCATGCTTTGAATTTAATTATATTGTCTTCGATTGATAGTTATTTTATTCAATACCTAATTTAACAATACTGATCTCACTCACGGAATGGTCATAACTCATAATTCACTAATCAGTGAATCTATATTTGTGCGCGTGTTGAACTGAAATGAACCAGTGTTTCAATTAAATCTTCATTTTCTCAGGATGCTTTACCTTCCGTTTGCTTGGGGTTTTGAATTTATTCAACACAGGAGCTAAAAGATATACTATTTGTTGAACTGACAGGGAATTATAAAAACGAAAAAAAGAGTACATTGATTTTTAGATTTCCAAACGAAGAAGGTGTTTCGGTTATCCTGTAATATCATAAAGCAGATAAAATTATATTTTTATTATAGCATCTAGGTTGTCAGGATTGAGAAAGAGCTCGTGACCAAAAGAAACAAGATTGAGAAAGGGCAGGATCCTTTTTCTTCTGACGAAAGATATTTATAAATACACAAAATTCTCTGATAAGGATAAAACTATTGAAATCTTATCATACTTTAATAAAGTAAATAAGTTTCTAAATTTACCAAATCTCGTACATAAATACAACCTTTAAGTTATTAAAATGTCACAGAGATGCAAATCAAAAGATAAAAACTTAAAAATACTCGGTCCTCTAAACACATTTAATAATCAAGTTCGTTGGACAAATTTAACAGAATCAATAGTCAGGACGCAACAAAAAGCAATACATCAATAACTTGGTCATAGAATACATAGTACATACACTAATATCGGCAAGAAAGGGGCATCCGGCCTTGAAAAAAAGTTACATTTGGAGTTAAATAAGGAACAATATATAGATATATATATATTTGTGAAAGATTGGGCAGGAATATCCTGCGATCTTGATCACGAACCCAGTAATTGTCAATCAATATAGGATTGGTATAGTTTTTGGGAAGTGAGATTGTAAGATCTTAACGGTGAACCTGAGAACCATGTATAGAAATTTCCTCTTTTAAGAATTTTAATAATTTTTCATGCTCTGGAGCCACATCCAATTGGAATCATCAATGTTCAATTTTTTTCTTATTGGAAAAATTTGTTATAGCACAAATCCACTGGCTATTTGCTTGATACATATTACGACACCAAGCTAAGGTACCCTTTGCTTGCTTTTTCCCCCCGTCATTTTTTTTAATGCTTGTGCTGCTGGCATGCTCTTAGTATCCAGGTCATGAGAAAGAAACATAGGAAGAAGACATGTTTTCTATATGAATTTGAGACTTAGCAAGAAGCATGATTTTATATTAAAAATATCAAATCTAATTTCTTGTGACCATGCTATCTTACATGCATATTCAAGTTGCATGAGTCAAATGTGCCTTAAAGACTTACATGAAGACTGAGCAATATGTGCATACTTATGATGAAAGCGGATCGTTCCTTCCCAGATATTCAATCTATTTGCTGCTTCCTTTAAATTTTCTGGTTTCAAATTTTTATTTGACATGCAATAATGCATGAATGATGACAAAGAAAACTTGTGCTAGATCCTAAAATCCCTTGTATATATTCAGAACCAGTATACCTGGAATCAAAATTAAATTAACCGAGTGTTGTGTTTCCTGACCAGAAATTGGATGGTGATTTTATCTTTACTGTTCCCCTTTTCTTGTTCTCTCTGATGCATTCAAATTTTCTATTTCATTTTCCTCATAATGTTTAGACCAGTTGAAGGCCTCTGTAAGTTCTTTGGAGAAAGAGATATGTTGTCTTAAAATGAAGCGGGCCGAAATTGTTAAAAGAATGACTGAAAAGAGGTATTGAATAGTCCTAATATTTGTAGACGTAAATATTGATCTCGTATTTTGTTTTGGGCCCAAATTGTGTTGTTTGGGTGTCCGTATCTCCCTTTAAAGAAGCAGGCTGAGATGGCTGTCTTTAAAAACTATGCTATTTTGTCCAAAATGAATCAGGCTGAGATGAGAAAGAAAACGAGTGATGACGGATTTGGAACAATTCTTCATATTTGTAGATATTGATATTGAAGTTTGCTTCTGTTATGGGATTTTTAATTTCTGCAATTTTTTTTTCTAATGTCAGAAGAAGGTGGAATTATGTTAGATGGCCGCTTTCTTCTTCCTAAAATGAAGATAATGTCAGCTATTATGTTTGCGTAAAATGACAGTTTTTAACTAACTTTTTGGCTAAAAGTTAGCCATATACCGTTGATACTTTGAGAAGTATTGAGATTTCCCAAAAAAAATGTAGCAACTCTCAAGAAGCGGGGATCCTATATCGTTTGATGAAAACCTATTTCCGAAATTCCAATTTGGTTCTCAGGTTATTTTTTCCCTAAATCAAGTGTTTATTGGCTCATGAAACTGCATACATGATAGAATTGACCATATAATGCAGCCATATCTTTGTAAATCATTAAGTTGCCGTTATCTTATGCAGCATTGCAATTTAGATACTGATGACTGAGTGATTAGTTTCTGTGCAGGGAAAATTTTACGACCATGTGCCTAGAATTTCAGGCTGACATTGATGGCAGAAAAAATTGTGAAGCAAGGACATTGTTGTCAGAGAGAGATTCCCTTGAAAATGAAATTCAACTTATGGAACAAAAACACAATGTTCTAAAAAATTCAGTATTGGCATTTGTGGAGGAAATTCTCGAAGATCTTAATAATTCCAACTCAGGTGATGTTGTTTTCCTTTTATCCCTATAAATTTGCGACGTGATTGTTGACAACAGAGTTACATGTAGTTCATGCCCGCTAGTTCTCCCTTTTGATGGCTGTGTCTGATGTTTTCCTTGCGTGTCTGGAATCATTTCTTGGACAAATAGTTGAACTAGATTTCACATACAGTGCTTCCCGGGAATTCTTTTGCCTTTTTGTGTTCTTATTTCAGTTCAAGTGATTTTGTCATGATTATTGTGTTTAATGGGTTCATAGTGTTGCTTAATGTGGAGTACTTGATATGCCGTCATCTGTAAGTGACTAATAAGTAGCTTTTGCATAGCTTAAGTTATTGAGCTATGCAAAAGCTACTTATTAGTCACTTACAGATGACATCATATCATAGATATTGACCTCCAGGTAAAGAGGACAATAGTGATATTGCATAGCTTTTCTTTTCTTTTATGTTTTATCTTGACAGATGAACTGCAAATTCAAACAAGTAAGTAGTAGCTTTTAAACTCCAATTTGTATGGCCTTAAGTGGATGATATAAACATCAAGTTGAATGGAAATATATCCATGAATCTCCGAAGACTTTAGGAAGCTGCTTTAACAAGTGATATCAAAATCTATGTATAAACTTATCTTAATGGGGAAAAAATTCTAACTGCCACAACTACAGGTACTTACCATTGCCCGAGATGAAAATATAGTTTTTCTTAACTAACAAGGATTCAATAATTGTGACACAAGTCTGCCTGCATGGCAGGTTGTTGGAACAAGTGACATGATAACATCTAGGTCACTTTTTTCTTCAGAACTTGGAATAACTGAATCACTATGAACGTTCATATCCATATTTTATCTAAACTTAAGTTATTGAGTTAAATTACTTGAGTGTAAGATGAGTGGTCGACGTAACTTCCCATGCTTTAGTCTCCTCTTCTGGATGGACAGTGATGTATTGCAACCTTTTCATCCCCTTCCCGCAACCCCTACTGCAGCGTTTGAAGTAGAGATACAGAGGAGGAATTGGGAGAATCAGAGATTGCTCAAGGATATCAACGATTTGAAGAATACGCTGCTTTCGGCTATTGGAACCAGTGATGATCTACCGTAAAAGCTTTCCTCTAATCTTTTGATTCATAGACCTTTACTTTCAGACGTTAGTATTATCAAATAGGTCACATTAGATCTTTAAGTAGGATTTAGTTACGTACGTACGTTCACACACTCAACACACATGCGTGCGTGTGTGTGTGAAATTTCTCGATGTAAAAACGCCTGCCTTGAATGAATGATATGACTCAGGCTCAAGTAGTTGTCTGTTTGTTTGGTTCAACAATATTTAGCAACGTGATGTGTCATTTTCATCCACTTGTGGCCAAACTATTGACTTCTTTTAGAACATTTAAAACATTCATGACTGAAAAGAAATGGTTACTCACCGCATGTATTTGGAAATTGGAAGCAAAACTAAAAATTATGATCCCCGAAACCTTGCAAGACAATGAATCTGTAACTGTTGCTCTGTAAAAGCTGGCAGGTGGAAGTAACTGCAACTATGCTGGTCAAATCTTTTTTTGGTTGAATTCTCTATTCCTCACAGAGTGGGAGCTTTCCAGGCAACAAGCTTCTTGCAATGATGCAGCTTTTCGTGCTTGGATACAGTTGGCGCCTGGATATAATGTTGTCATGAATGTGTCCAGAGGCGGAGGTCAAACTTCAGACTCCCGAGACTTCATTTCATGCCTTTTTAAATTTGGTAGGTTGATTCAATAAATCTTTCGATTTGGTGCTTTCTGCATAAACTATTTGGCTTTGTTCGTACTTGGAAAGAGACTTTCCCTTTAATATATATTCTGGCTCACAACTTCATCATTTAAGTAGCTTGGATGGGGGCCCGGTACCACTCCTTAAGTTTCTTTGTTTCTTTACCCATTTTATTGCAGAGATTGCATGTGATTGTTGTGTCACTGTCCGTTCTAGTTTGGGGGTCCATTGGTTATTGCTCCATGGTCAAGTATGAACAAGTTTTGCAGCTTATTATAATCATTAATGTTATCAATAAAATGAAATATCTACAAATCAAAATTGAAACTGTTAAACAATTAGCCTCGGCTGCCATTATAAGATTGTAGATGTTATAAGTCTCACATCAAAGAACCTTGCAAGATAAGTGGGGTTTACTAAGTTCAAATGGCCTCTCCTAACATGTCAATTTTTTGAAAGAAGCTCTTTTTTAGGACTAGTACTTATAACATTGGTCTTTTCATTGAAAAAAATTGATGTCATGGAAAGAGCTATTCACGTGGAGAGTTTTGACTAATAGTACGTTAAGTGAAGTGTTGTGAAGTGAATGAATCTCATATTAGGAGCCTCGCAAAATAGTTGAGATTTATAAGTTTAGAGACTCTTTTACTCAACAAGTTAGTCTTTTAAATTAAGCTCTCATTTTTTTATGTTCGCAATAGTAGAATTTAATCAACCTTAGCATACAGGCTGTCATTCATGAATGGGTTTTAACTTTTTTAAATTGAATGATTTGGCTGCTTGAGCTGGCCCTGAACAAGTAAATTCATAGTCAATTGACTTTCAATTCTACTGTAGTTGTAACATAATGTCTCTATTTATTTATTTTTTTGTACATTACCCGTAATTCATTTGCATGATTGCAATGTCTTTCTCAATCATTAAAGTATTCAACCACTTGTATCCCACTAATGCAGATTTTCTAGAGTATAATCCAACTAAAGTTAGAAGTGGAAAAGAGTGAGTTGAGATTAACTTTCTTATTTGTGAGTTCTGCAAAAATGAGTTTTTTTTTATAACTCTTTTTTTTTTTTTTTACTCTGTTGAAGTCAACTTTAAAGATCAACTTTTTTTATCTTTTTTATAAATTATTTCTAGCTAGCTCACCAAAATCAAAGTGAATTAGTCAGAATAATAAAATTATCTTAAAAATAATTCATTTTTTAATTTTGCCCCTAAAATTAAAAGAGTTATTTGATATATGAGAAAAGCTTTCTTGAAAATTTAAATATTGCACTTTTTTTTAAGAATTTATTGATGGTATTTTTAGAACTGTGTACAAGACAAAGTGACTTGTATAAAAGATCAAGAAAACTTTATAGAGTGACTCGTCTTTGGGAAACTACCATTAAGTTCAACCTATGACCATAACGTGTGGGACATTTTTGCATGGCGAGTCATTGTTACCTTGTTTTTGACCTCGCGAGTCATTATTATCTAGTTTCACTGGCATGTCAAAATTGAGTGCAGCATATGAACTATTGAGATATTAGGACAATTAATTACTTCATATTTGGATGTGTGATGAAAAAGTGATTTTGCAACTTTTGTTAACTCCTATAGTACTTTTTTTTTTTTTGCAACTACTCTTATAGTACTTTGGTCAATCCACCGGTCGCTGTAAGGAAAGTATAATAATCAATATACTAAAAATCATATTAGTAATTAAATTGGTTTAGCTACTAGTTCATGGATTAATCCAGTAAAAACACTAGTTTAATACTTTATTGGCTTAATTGGTGGGATTGACTGGATTCTTAATATTGTGATAATAGTATCAGCCTGCAAGATAAGATTTCATGTAAAGCTTCGTGCCGGGCTTCAACCAAAGGTTCACTTGGCAATTGATTTTTGCCGGGCATGAAAAGAATGAAATAATAAGCCTCTTTTGATTGCACAATATAATTTTTATAAAAAAAATTAATTTTTTAATCTCTCAATTTTTAACTCACTTATAACTCAATTTTTCGATTATGACTCACTGTGACTCAATTTTTTAACTATGACTCGCTTATGACTCAATCCCTCAATTTTTAATTTACTTATAATTCAGTATCTCAAGTTTTGTAAATTCTCTTTTTTATGTTAGTTTAGATCTCATATTAAAGAGCAAGAGAAGGGTATTTTTGAATAATATATAAGCACTTTTTTATCCCTCTTATTTGATAAGGAAATTTTAAAAAAAATTGAAAAATAAAATCGAATTATAGGTGAATCAAAAGTTGAGAAATTGAGTCGTAGTAAATTATAATTGAAGGATTAAATTATAAGTGAATTAAAAGTTGAATGATTAAAAGATTAATTTTTTTATTTTTTTTATTGTAAATGTTTAGCAAAATTTAGATTTAATTTATTTTTATATTCAGATAAAAACTCTTTATGTATGAAATTATTTTTTTATTTCATTGTATTCTATTGTCAAACATGTCTTTCATGGCAATGTTGCTAATTCATTTCAACTATTGCTGAAACAGGGCAAGAGACAATGATGTGAATGGTCGGCCTCGGTCATGTTGGTTTTGGACTATAAAAATATATACATGGCTTCAATCTGTACGGTGGTTGCAAGAAAAAGGGATAAGAATACAAAGATGCCATATTTGTCAATTCCATCGCAAATCATTGTAAAGTCATCACACGGCAGCCCTACAAGCTAAGAATGCAGAAGTGGTTGCTTCAAAAGCGAAGCCTGGAACCCAAAAGAAGGAAAACAACATGAAGCTCCCTCATAGCCAAGTGAAGTAAATATAATAACAACCACCACCAACAACAATGAGTTTTGTTTCTCTATTTTTTTTAAAAAATGAAAATAAGTAATTAAGTATAGAAAGTTCCAAAAATTAGTCTTGTCCTTGTCTAAGTATACTTATTAACTATTTTATATAGATTAAAAAGATTAGTTCAAAGTAACTAAGTGCCAAAAAATCTATAATTTTTAAAAATTAATCAAAATGAGTTGAGAAAGGTTATTAGAGTGGTGAACACAAGGCAATTTGAAAATAGTTTATAAATAATTAATTTTTATATTAAGGATCATAAAGATTTCTTCTCATAAACAAGATCAAAGATAGAGTTGATAATTTGGGCCATACCTGATGGACTAGCCTAAATTCGTTCAAAAAAAGTTAGGATCAAGTTTGATTATATGGACTTTTTTAAGAGGGTAAAATATTTTAAAATTGATTGGAATTGAGCTTAACCTCTAGAATTTTTAGCTTTATATGTATATAGAGTTGATAATTTTGGCTAAGCTTGACAGGCTAGCTTAAATCGGCTCAAAAAAGTTAGGGTCGGGCTTGACTATATGAGCTTTTTAAAAGGGATAGGATATTTCAAACCTGATCCGAATTAACCCGACTCGCCCAAATTACTAGCTCTAATCAAAGGGAGTGGTTTTTAACTTTTTATGAGTATATGATTCCACATTGTTCTCTAATATTTCTCCAAAGACTTAAATATTGAGTGTAATTCAGTATTTTTCTTTTCAGGGAATCCTCTTTAAATTTTTCTTATTTAGTTGTAAATTTAAAATTGACATGTCATGACTTCTAGTGATTAAAAATGAATACAAATTCAATAATAATAAGAAGCAAAGATTGTCTTGTGTGTTACAGACAGTGATCATGCCTTTCACGTGAATGTCACGTGCAGAGATCGATTTGTTACCGTACAGCTATGTCTCATCTTTTTAAATCGTGCTAACAAGATAAGTTGTGGTCCTTTTCTTTATTGCAGGTGCCCGTAGAAAAGAAAGAAAGGGTTTGAATTTTGAGCCACGAGTAGGTGAGTTCTATAATATTCTGTCTCTGCTGTGCTCCATTTTCATGCTTCCTTCCATCACTTGTCCCCCTTTCATATACATGGGCCATATATATATATATATCAGAACCAAATAAATAAACTTACATAATAATATATAAATATAGAACAAAATAATTCTAATAGTTTGAGGCGTGCACGAGCACTAACTCATTATGTGGAGGAGCCACAGTCTGGAACTATATCCAATGAATGGATGGCCAAAATAGTAGGACTAGTGAATGTGATGTGATAATTTGCTTTATGCCTTTATAGTAATTAGTTTAAGTATGTGCTTATGTAAAATAGATCAAGTGAACTATAGTTGATTCAAATTCAGACCGAAAAAAAAAAAAATTGTTGATTGGTATGAAGTTTCTCATGTATCATAAGTCGACTTCCTTACTAAACAAGTCGTTCAATCGTTCATGTATCACCTAGATTAGATTAGATACGTTTGGTTAAGTTATTCTTGATAATTATATATCATGAGTTGTGAGCTTTTAAAATTAAATTTAGGAAAAATAACAATTTGAAACTTTAAAATGCCATAATTTCCTTAAAGTCCCTTAAGACTTTTTTATCATTAATAAATTTATATAAATTATCAAATTATTCTTGTTGAAAATAAATAATTCATAAGTTTTGTTTAAATATTCACAACTTTTTTTTTATATTTGCAACAATGTAATAACAAAAAAGAAATTTAACATGCGAAGTTTTAATTTACTGTTATATTGTTACGAATATAAGAAGAAAAATTATAAATATTTAAACAAAACTTATGAATTATTTATTTTTAATAAGGATAATTTGGTCATTTATATAAACCCATTAATGACAGAAAAGCCTCTAGGAACTTTAAAAAATTATGACATTTTAAGAGATCAAATTATTATTTATATATTTCAGATGGATTTTATTGTCATTTCCCTTAAATTTAAGTGTAGGTCATTCGATATTTCAGTCTTTTATCTATTTTCAGCATTAAAATATTGAAATTTCACAAAAGTTTGTGTAATATTTTAGTATTTTTGGAACAATAAAATTAACAAAAAGTTTCTAATAAAAGAGTGATTAAATTTTGTTGGTGAGTCACTTAAAGCTATTTATCAATACCATTATAAAATGTAAAATCTATAGTAAGTTTCATTGTTTATGACTTGGGCTAAAATATACAGAACTTCTCATGACTTTAAAATTGTTATACAAAACTTTTCATTTTTAAAAGTTTAAAATCAACATTTCTAACTTTTTTCTGACAGACTCCTATACTATTATTTTTAGTTATTTTATTAATAGAAGTTGTTATGTTATATTTAGAAAAGATACATAGAAGTTTGTGTGGCATCCAATATAATTAAGTTAATAACTTTATAAAAAATTTCATCCATACTTTTCTATTATTAGTGGTGCATATTTTTCTTGTTTTAAAAGATAAATTTTTATTTAATGATTCCTCATTAAGTTGTGTTGAAAAATACTTAAAATATTTTCCATTTTAAGTGGCTGTTAACAAGATAGCATAGTTATTGAGAGTAGAGGTTTCGAAAAAAATAAAATAAAATATTAAGGTGGTTAATTTTACATGGTTAAAAGTGAGGGGAGTTATACTTAAGTTATATCAAAATAAAATTCCAAGAGGTTTGTATATTTTAGCTTATAAATTTTAAACAGTTTACCTATTTTAAAATGCAATATCTAGATACCAACCTTTAGCTTTAATCTGAGTTCCATGCATTAACAAATGATGACATTCAAAAGTTTATGGGATTTTACTTATAACCTATAAAGTTGTGAGATTAAATCTCGTTGTTAATATAAAAACTTTGTTAGTAGGCAATCTATAAATATTTTTATAAGTATTTTTTTAAGTTTGAATGTATGCCCTACCTTAGTAAACCATGTGATCTAGCTTATTATAAAAAAAAAAAAAAGTTCTATCGATTTACCTTAAACCTAATATTAATTAATGTTTTGAAAGAGGGATCAGTTAAATAGATTGATTAAGTAAACGAAATAGCGATTGAAACTGGTTCCGTTACCATTGAACGGCTTGAGATTTTCAACAGTTAAAAATATTTTTTTCGTTATTGTTTGGTTGAAAAATTAGATAGCCTTGTATTACATCAAATGCCGAAAGTGAATTGAAAGCCTCTATATTTCTTTTGAAATTCTAGCCACTAGCAATTAATAAACCTCAGCCACTAAGTACCAAGTCAATTATTTTACCTTTGGCTAGACTACATTTTTTTTATTATTAATTAATATTTGGTTGATAAATACGGTGGCTTTTTTATGCCCAGTTGATTAGAAGATAACCCTTTCATGATTATAATAAACATTGATCCTACAACTGTGTTATTTAATATTACAATAATAGTGTTTTATAGAATTTATAATATTAGTGTTATGAAGTACTTTATGTGGGATTTTAAACTATGGATGCCTATAATTTATATTAAAAACACATCATAAATCTTTTGAAGAAATTTTTATATTGGGTTATTCTTTAAGTTGCTGAGTCTCTTATCTATTGAAATTCATTAACTCAATTATCTCTCATGCACATCTACTTATTTTGGGTTGATTCTGTCTTATTGCGTTTAGAAATTCATAAAGTTTCTACTGTGATTTTCATAGTTCACAAATTTGAGCCTAATCTTCTGCTTACATAAATGCTGTGATTGAGCTATTAACTCCCCAGAAATTGAATTCATTATTCTAACTATGAGCTTGGGTTATTGCTTTTTTGAGAGATTGACTTGCATAATTTTTAACTCTTTTTTCGTTTTGGCCTATATACTTTTTAATCTATTGTTTGCCATATCGTGAGTAAAGAAAATTAAAAACAAAGTGACTATTATTATTCGTGTGTCATAAAAATTAACAATATAAAAAAGGATGTTTCCCTTGCACCCATACCTATATTTTTCAGCAAGATTAAAAATTCAAGATTTTCAATTAGAGTGTCTCTTTTAAGACAACCGTGAAGTTAATATACTTCTCCATAGATTATAAGCTAGAATGTTAGTACTTCCAGTCTTATTTATAAGGCAAAGATGAGGGAATATTTTTTGTTATATTCATAAGTCATATCGTGAAATTTTTATCACAATTTTTTTTAACCTTTTACTAAATGTTGGAAAAAAATATATTATTAAAGTATGTATATTTAATAGGAGTAAAATTGATAATTTATTAAATCTTTTAAATAAAGTTGATGAGTTTTAAAAATTTTTAATCCTGATGTAACATGTTGGAAGTGACTTATGAATAAGATTAAAGGAGTATTTTCCTTTTGATTGTTCACCATGCTATTCATTCTTAATTACTACCCACTACAATCACAAATATATATGAGGTGATGAAAGTTCTTCCCTTCAAAAGCCCAATTATTAATATTTTTATTTATATGGAGCTTAAAATTTGCATTCCTTGGAATATGATAATAATCATTCAATTTAAAGAAGGGAAATAAAAAAAGAAACGCAAGAAATTAGGGTAGGTTTGGTTTATGAAGTGTGTGTTTAATATGGGTTTGAACATTCCTTTCGTTTTTTGATATCATTGTTGCTTTGCCAGTGAGGTTTGGGACCCAAAGTGTAAACTGCTTGGTGAGTGTACTGGGACATATCATATGATCCACCACAAGCCCCACGTTCGGTTCCTTTATTAGCGACCAAACATACATGACCATCACCATAGCACCTCCACACAACCTCTTCTTTCTCCCTCCTCTATATAACACCTTCCTTCTCTTCTCTCTCTTTTCATCCTTCACTTCATCATTCAATCATCACCTCCCAAAAACAAAAAAGCCCTAATAGTTCTACTGTTTTTGATATCTCCGGAAGGTTAAAGCAAGAGACCAGAAGACTTGAAGAGAAGGAGGAGGATGAAGTTCATGCAAAGAGATCATCAACAAAGCATTAGATCAGTTTCTAAAACAAGTGTTTATGGCAAAAGAATGGGAGCTCTTCTCAGAGAAGGTAGGGGTAGGTTTTATATATTCAGAAGGTGTATCATATTGCTACTTTGCTCCCATGATTAGTTAGTGCGTGCGTGCGTGTATCTTCTTGTAATGAATATGGAAGAGGAAGGGATGAAAAAGAAACCTAATAAGTTTGGGTTTAATTTCCTTTATCCTTCTTCTCTTCTGGTTCTTATTA